GACTAGCCAAGTACAAAGCGAATCTCGACAAGTGCGAATTCGCCAAGCAAGAGCTTGAGTACTTGGGTCATTTTGTCACGCCAAAAGGCATTCGTCCCTTAGCGGACAAGATCCAAGCCATCGTGGATTGGCCGGAACCCCGTTGCACGACGGATGTACGCTCTTTCATGGGTTTGGCTGGATATTATCAGCGATTCGTCGAGTCATACTCGAAAGTGGCTGCTCCTTTGTCGAGACTTCAGTCCCCGAAGRTGCCCTTCGAGTTCGACGACGCAGCCCGTGGCGCGATCACTACGTTGAAGGCGGCAATGCAAGCCGCACCTGCCCTCCGTATATATGACCCCACCCTTCCCACCCAAGTGACTACAGACGCTTCGGGATACGGTATTGGTGCGGTGTTGGAACAGTGTCACGTGGACGGTTGGCATCCGGTCGAGTACTTCTCCCAAAAGGTGCCTCTCGTAAACACTCTCGACGACGCTAGGAAGAAAGAGCTACTCGCGTTCGTCACCGTTCTCAAACGGTGGCGCCACTTTCTTCTCGGCCGTCGGCGTTTTAAATGGAATACGGACAACAATCCGTTGACCTTTTACAAAACGCAGGATACGGTCACTAGCATGATCGGTCGATGGATGTATTACATCGACCAGTTCAACTTTGACCCGTGCCACATCCCCGGTCCCGCCAATCGAGCTGCGGACGCCCTCTCACGACGGCCCGACTTTTGTGCCATTGTGACCACGGCATTCGACCTCGATGACGATCTSCAGCCGCATTTCGTCAAAGGCTACAAGTCCGACCCGACTTACTCTACGCGGAGCTTTCATCGGATCACCCGCCGGCTAGCCACTATCGGATTTCCGACGGGTTCCTTCTCCTTCACACGAGAGGAAAGGACTTGCTAGTTGTGCCCCAAGATCGCATCTTACGGACTCATCTTCTGGGCGAATTCCACGACGCACGACTTTCGGCACACCTTGGCGTGAACCGCACATTAGAACGCCTCCGCCAGCGTTTTCACTGGCCCGACGTCCTTCATGACGTCACGAGGTACATTGAGTCATGTGCAGTTTGCCACCGTAACAAGGGTCGATCTCGAGTCCCCTTCAGCGAACTGAAACCGTTACCGATTCCTCGGGCACCACGCCTCTCCATTGCTATGGAAGTGACAGGCCCGTTTCCCCGCGATCGCCACGGCCATGACGGTATTCTCACGGTCGTTGACCATTTGACAAGTATGCTCGCTTCCTTCCTTGCAAGTATCATGCTGCAGCGCCTGAGCTCGCACGACTCTTGCACACCGGTTGGATTACCAACCAGGGTGTTCCGGAAGACATAGTGAGCGACCGAGATACTCGCTTCATGTCGGCCTTTTGGACTTCCCTCATGGCTGAGTCCGATACGACAATGAAGCCGAGCTCGTCTCGGCACCCGCAGACGGATGGCCAGACGGAGCGAACGCACCAGACCGCTCAGATGATGTTGCGTACGCTCATCCGTCCCGACCAAAAAGATTGGGTTCACCGGCTTCCCGACATCGAGTTCGCCTATAACACTTCGGTGCATCCGGCGATCTGCATCACACCATTCGAGCTACATCATGGTGGAGAGAAAGCACGGATCTTCGCTGATCTCCTTTTGCCACAGGCTGCCGACATAGACGTCCCTTGCTCTCCTGCTTCCGTTCGAAAGTACCGGGACTTGCTAATCAAAGCCCGCGCGAATATGCAAAAGGCTCAGATCCACATGCAGCAGCAGGCTAACCGACGTCAACTTCCATGTCCTTTCCGCGAGGGAGACCTTGTTTGGGTCCTCTCCGAGGAATTTGCGCTCGAGCAGGACGTTTCGCGCAAACTCCTTCCGAAATGGTTCGGACCATGGGAAATCACTTTTGTCGTTGGAGACGACCCCGCAGGTCCTTCCTTTGTGGTCAACATTCCTCCGCACCTTCCAGTGCACCTTGTCTTCCACGCGTCGAAGCTGGCCATCTACACGCCACCTTCCGCCGACGAGTTTCCCGGCCGTCGATTACAGGATCCGCCTTCTATGGACGGACATCAGGAAGTCGACCGAGTCATCACGCATCGCAAGTATACCGAGTCATCACGCATCGCAAGTATGGCAACAAGCCAATGCAGTTCAAAGTCACATTCAAGCAATGTGCGCCCGATGACACTCGATGGATCTCCAGTACAGATTTGCAGACTTCTGCACCCCTTATCTTCGCCAACTATGAGAAGCGACGCCTTGCTAAGGAAGCAGCTCGTCCCGCCCGACCCAACCCGGTATCGAACAGACAACTTCGCCCTCGCAGGTAGCTCGATCTTTTAAGAGGGGGAGTGTGTTACATCTTCGATGCCACACGGGTCCTACCGGACCCGTCTTAGGGTTAGAGGGACATATTAGGGCCTAAAGGCCCGACCTTGGAGGTACTACAGGCCGTAAAGGCCTTAACCTTGGACCAGACCCGACGGGCAGGCCCAAACGACATTACCGTTTGGGCCTGGCGGCGCTCTTGAGGCTGCCGCCCGCCGGTTGGGGCTGAACCGTCCATCTTGACGGTTCAGGGCACGGCCAGGCCTCGCAGCATTGAGGCCGGCCTCTGCCTCACCGGTACAAACTTACCGGTCCAGCCTCATTGAGGCTATCGACCTACCGGCATTCTACCGGTACGGTATGGTACAGCGCGAAACAGCGCTGGCGCTATGTTTAGCGCAGGAGCGAGGAGCAGCGCAGCGCACCATTAGCGCAGCAGCAGCGAGCGGAGCAGCAGCAGCGGCGACTGAGTATATCGGCGGCCATAGCCGCTTGAGGTATCGGGAGTTGGAGGCTTCTCTCCTCCCTCCCATCGCCAGTCCTCTCTCTCTCTCCCCCCTCCTCGGCTCCCTTCTTCTTCTTCTCCTCAGATTCCATCTTCTTCTTCTTCTTCTTCAGATTGGAGACTTATACTAGTTGGACAGAGATCAGGGTTGGACTTAGGTGGTATGAGACTGTGGTACTTACCGGATTGGAGACTTGGAGATTGTTGGGGTTGATACTTGGCGGCATCACAGTTCGGACACCGGTTACATTTGGACTCTGTATCTCCGACATTGGTGACTGATTGTCCTCGACATTTTGATCTTGTTGGATGACATTTTGGACTACCATATCGGTGACCTATCGGATTCTATCTCGGTGACCTATCGGTGCTGTCTACCTCCCCCACCTCCTTCGTCTCTCCTCCCACCTTTCATCCGTGTATGTGTGTACGGGATCTGGGCATCGTCTATGCTTGGCCCAGACCCCACCATCTCATGATTGTATGTGTGTGGAGTGATACCTATGTGAGTCAGTCTATGTGAGTCAGTCTATGTGAGTCAGTCCGTTTATCAGACTTCCACTGCATATATGTTCATCCTACATTGGTTGATCTCTGGTTCTGCCCATACTCATTGAAGTATGTAACAGCCCCAGTCACAATTTTGAGACTACAATCTTCCCCCCAAACACAATAACCCACCATCGCGACTGGCGGAACACGGTTTGTGTTCATTCATGACGATTGTGTTTTATTTTTTGGGGGAAGAAGATAGCATCCACGAACTGTACGCCGCATCTTCACACGTAATCTCCAGCTCCCTCTTTTCTCCTAGTTACAATTCTAAGCCCCAGTCACAATTTTGAGACTGCATTCTTCCCCCCAAACACAATAACCCACCATCGCGACTGTATTGCGACCGGAACACGGTTTGTGTTCATTCATGACGATTGTGTGTTATTTTTTCGGGGAAGAATATAGCTTTAAGCCAGCAGATCACCCAAGCCTATTTGCATGAACCAACCGTCCGAACCTGCCCAGCCTGAAACCCACTCCTACCGGGTCACACCAGCTCTGATTGAAATATGCATTTGGTTTGGCGCGAATAATTTTTCATGGGCCAAAGCGGCCAAATCTTCTTTTTATTCCCCCGATGCGGAGCAACTTAAGCAACATCTCTGATACTTTTTTCGGAAATTTTTCGTCGCCAGAAATAAGAATTGAAAATCTCCAAAGTTGGGGTGCTTGGAATTTTGCACCCCGCTTGGGTCCCGGAGTAAAAGGCCAACTTAGCTTTGGCTAAACTGGTGGTTTAATGAATGGCCTTTTCAGAGACTAAGGTCAAGTTGTGCGGGGAAAGCGGAAGGGGGTCCTTGTGAAGAGGCTCCAGGCAGGCACATATGTGCCTTGGCCAGCGCTAAACTGGTGGTTTAATGGATGGCCTTTTCAGAGACTAAGGTCAAGCTGTGCGGCGGAAGCGGAAGGGGGTCCTTGTGAAGAGGCCCCAGGCAGGCACATATGTGCCTTGGCCAGCTCCACAGCATCATCTTTACCTTCGTCCTTGAGATTTTCTCCGGGAGCATCAATGGCAGCCTTGACAAGACTTTCACCTTCCCCTTCTTCTTGAGGTCTTCTGCCGCATCTGCCCCCTTAGTCCCATCCTCTTCATCTCCTTCCTCCTCTACCATCGCATCCGCGTCCGTCACCGCCTCACTGAACTCCCTGTCCCCTCTTTTCAGTTCCATTTTCACTTCTTTTATCCCTGCCGTTCTCATCTCTTCTCTCCCTTTCTTCTCCCCTCCACCCGTTACCTTCTTCTCTGCCGGCTTCTCGTCACCCATGTCATTTTGCATCCACCTCGCTGCGTCCTTGATGCCCCCAAGAGGCTCCCTCTTCACTGCCGCCTTTGTCTCCAATCTACCGCCATCGACACAAACCATGTCATTTAATTCATTCTTCGTGACAGCATCGTGAGTTATGCCGGACTCCTTTTTCACATTCAGGAGCGGTTGTCCCTTCGCAGTGTCTTGAAGCGGAGGCGCTGGCATGGCAGGCTTGGTGCTCAGCCATTTATCCAGACCCACTTGTTTCTGCACTCCAGTCTCAGGCCCGGCTGTGCCCCTCCCTCTCCCTTTCCCCTCATCTACCTTGGCAATCACCCCTCCCTTCTTTGCCTCCCCGCCAAGTTTCTTATCTGCTCCCAATGCAGACCGCCCACGGCCTGCCCCTCTTCCTCTTCCTCCCCCACCTTCTCCTCTCCCCCTACCGCGTCCTTCAACCTTCTTCCTCTTCGCAGCGCTGCCATCTTCACGCTGACCATTCCACGAGACGTCACCATTCCCGTGCACCCCATTCTTCTTGGCTGAATCGTCTCCATCTCCGCCACTCTCGAGTCCCGCATCTGTTCTTGTCCTTTTCTTTGCCTGGGTTTTCACCTTTGCTTCGCTCGAAAGCAGATCCCTCTTCTGACCACTTGCTTCCTCATTAATCTCTTGTGAGGACGACTGCCGCTTGAACTTGCTAACCGGTTCGTCGTCACTGCTTACATCTTGCCTGTCAATCTTTCGCGGCCGACTTCTCTTTCCCTCATTGACTTCCCCCGCACTCCAAGAGGGCACACCATACGACTCCGACGTTGATGACGACGAGATATTTACAGGTGCAGAAGCTGGTGCCTGGCATCAGACAGTTGCAAAGAGACGACCAGAAATTAGTACAGAGTTCACTGACCTCACTGTACCTGCCTTATGGCCGAACGGTGCACACATGTAAACTGTTACTAATCAGACCACGAGTTCGATTCCTGAAGAAACATCAACATTGAGGCTACCCCGTTTCAAAAACAAAAAAGAAAAAGAAAAATCAGAAGAAGCCCACAAGTCCTGGAGTAACACAAAGACCACGAGAACAAGAAAATGTTTTCTGCACCTAAAGAACTCTCAGAATTCTGAACAATGATGATTCTAGTGCAATGTAATGCGACACTTATGTTTGAAAGCTCCATGCATGGTGGTCTCATTCCACAACAAATATCATCATACATTAATAATTAAAGTCACAGAGAATTGCCCGGTGAACTGTAGGCAGAAAGGGAGAAAAGGACAAGAAATGGGGGGTTGCGACCGATTGTTTCGTCAGATTTCACTAACTCATCAGGAGGCTGAACCCCCGACAGTCTGCAGAGTTCCCTAACCAATGGTACTGTAATTGATAATCCACCTTAACCCCCGTTGTGGTTGGGCACCAACCGCTGCCCCACAAGTGATACCCTGAGGTGCGCACCAACCACTGCCCTCAAGCGTTCCGGCGACGAAAATATGTGAAATGCAATATCTAGTATCTACCGCTAATAGGGACTTCAATGCCAACCAACAGGCCTAGCTCAGTTGCTGCTGGTCTCCACAAGGTTGAGAAAAGACAGAGCCGACCTCCATGGCTGGGCTGTGATAGGAGGTTGGGCGCCTTGCTGGAATCTTCACAGAAACTACGCCACTGATTGACATAGATAGCATGCATTGATGAGGTGGCGTTGAAGGAAGATGTCAAAGAAGGAGAGAAGTGGGATTTGGAGAGCGACATATACTTGCATTATTGATCATTAACGTAACTCTTCTCTCCCTCCTCTCTATCTCTACCTCTTCTCTCCCTTGTCTCAACCTGCTGCCTCCCTGCTTCCGAAGTTCCCAATCAATTGATTGAGTCTGGAGTCTTTCGACTTGCAATCATCTCTGGAGACTATATTTTGCGCATTGGTTCACCATTTGTGTGGCATTGCTGCGATCGACCTTCTCAACAAGAGTGGGTTCATTACACTATGTACCTTCCAGCCTCAGAAGTAAGAGACCTGTACACCTGCCTGGTAGTGCCTGCCGAATGGTACACATTACTATGGGTCACCGTTAACAAAGTACAGATGAAGAGTTCAAATCCCAGTCGGATGCATCCCCCCCAGCCCCCCACCCCCTCCCAGTCAAATGAGACCAAAGAGGGGGAGGGGGGGGAACGCAAAACAATGTTTTGCAGAAATAATGCAAAAAAAAAAAAAAAAAAAAAAAAAAAAAAGAGAGAGGGGGGTGAAAAAAAAAAAAAAAAAAAAAAAAAAAAAAAAAAAACAGAAACCTGGGTGTTGTCGACATATCACTGACCTTGAAATCGTGCAGCCAATCAGGCGAGGATTCTCGCGAGTTAACCATTGTAGATGTGAACCAGATAAGGACCCCAACAGCGGCAGAAACGCTTTAGGAGGGGTCTGTACATGAGACCTGCACAAAAACGAGTATAAAAAACAGAAAGTGAAAGAGAGAAAGTGAAAGACATATTCGAGTTCAAAAAGAGGGGGAAAAAAAAAAAAAAAAAAAAAAACGAACAAAAGAAAAGAAAGAAAGAAAGAGAGAGAGATTAGATGGCGTCCACAACCAGTTATTGCCAAGCAGCTTCGAAGCAGCAGGGCAAAAGCATACGCCACCTGTGCCTGGTTCGAACTTCTGGACCAGGTTCCAAGTTCAAAACCAGGTTCCTGACCTGGTACAGCTGACAAGCTTCAAGAAACCAGGTTCCTGACCTGGTACAGCTGAAAAGCTTCAAGAATCAAAGTGGAAGTACACGCGACATTGCTCACAGGGGCTTCCCTTAACATTATGATATTCATCACCAAGGATTTCAGGATTCAAACTTTTTTTCTTTTCTTTTTTTTCAAAAGGAATAAACTCTTCTATTTTATTTTATTTTCTTGGCTTTGCTTTTTTCTTTGCTTTGCTTTTCTTGTCTTTTCTTTTCTCTTTACTTCTTTTTTCCTTGTTTTCTTTTTTTCTTTTTTTCTTTTTTTCTTTTTTTCTTTTTTCCTTTTTTCCTTTTTTTGCTTCCTTCATTTCTTTTCTTCCTTTTTTTCTTTTTTTGCTTCCTTCATTTCTTTTCTTCCTTTTTTTCCCTTCCTTTTTTTGAAGGAAGGATCAGAAATTACACTGAGCGGAACAGATGCTACACTTGATCTTATCATCGGAGCGAAAACTCCGCAAATGGTACCCGGTCCAAAAATCCAACCTGGTATAGGATTTGAACTTCCAACCTGTGTATCAAACGGATTTAGGTGTGTACCACACAGCCACAGGGGAGACAGCACAAGCTGCAAGCTATAGTGTGCAATGTTCGCAGCATTGCAAACGTGGGATGAACCAGATCCAAAAATCCAAACCAGGTTCATGCTATGTCTTGACAGAATGGCCTGCAGCATGCCAGGCTACATCTGTTGTCCAAGACACGCACTATCCCGCAAGGACGTAAAGGAAAGTAACAGAGAATTCTTCTTGCTTTTTTGCGAGGAAACACACACACACACACACACACACACACACACACACACACACACACACACACACACAAATTGAAACGGTTTTCACCTTTTAGCAGTAGCGGATGCAGTACCCAGGGTTCGACCCCTAGACCTCACCCTACCCATGTACAGTATCTGTGAAGACCCCGGGAATTGAACCTGTGACCTGTGTATTCGTAGGCAGTTGGTAGGCCTGTCGTAGGTCCATAGGCAGCAGGGGTTCGATCTGTAGGTCTATAGCGTAGGAGTCTTAGTGAGTTCCGGAAGCTTGGCTGTAGACGTTCTAGAAGGTAGGCAAGTGGGCAAGTGGKCAAGTGGTGAGGCAAGTGGTGGACTAAACCGCAGTGCAACAGCAGTACAACGTCGGTAGGATAGCGGTGAGTCCACAGTCAGTCAGCAGAAGGTCCAGTCAGTCCCAGTCCGGTCCAGCAAGTACCACAGGGGGACTGTGAGCACCAAGGGCCGATGGCAAAGGGCAGACCAACGAGTTTCTGAAGTATAAATCAAGAGGCAGC